TTTTTAATATCATTAGTTGTGTATTTTTTCAATAACTCCTTTTGACAAGGGTCAAGTTTTGGTCCATTTGTAACTTCGAAAGTTTTAATTTCTTTCTATTCATCGGGTGAAAACAACGATATTGTTTCGACATCAGCATCATTGATTATAAAAGAATGAATATATGATTCTTTATGTAGTTTTTTAGCAAATTCGTAAATAACTGTTTCCACTTTACGCCCAGTTTTCAGGGTCCATAGCCAAGTAAGCTTCTTTGAATTTTCTCAAATCTAACTCAATGGGTGATGTATTAGACTCGTCATCAGTGTACTCGTTATCAATGTAACCGTCATTAAAGAAGGTTTCGGGATCTTCACAAGCCACATCAAGAATTGGGTCTTTTGTTCGACCATTTGATTTCATCTAAATCACAAGATAGAAAGACAAAAACGACAAAAGTTATTTGTTGCTTGAAGAAATTAATAATATACAGAGCCACTCGGCCCACCCTTTTAGTTGAACGGATTGTAGATGTTTTTTCTTTGATGCTCGGTTGTTATGAATACTATTATCGAAACTTTCCCGAGAAATTATTGATTTTATCATTAAAATTCTATAGAAATACAAGATCAGTTAATGAAAAATAATATCGGAAGCAACGTGAGCTTACATTATTCTCACCTTCAGATAGACTAGAAGTTGGATCACGATCGTTTGGTATTTTCCTTGCACTTTTGGTTCGACTTTACCATTGTCCTAAGGGTTAAATTGCAGTCCATATATAACAAAATCACAAAATAATAGAAGAATGCATGCCTGCCGGTACTCCTTCCTGATCCCTTTTCTTTGGTAAAAATTCGTCTTCTACTATTGAATCAAAGGTTTATATAATAATTTATTGATATAGTATTTATTAACTTTAGAAATATTTGATTTAATATTAATAGATGATTGATTGATTTAAATGTTTCTTTTTATAATGGAAAAAATACACTGGAAAAAGTTTTTTCTTTGTAAAAAAAAAGACCAGAATTAAAAAGGTTTTTTTCAAGATTTTATACATTATTATTGACACTTGGTGTTGCGCAAAGATTTTTTTTTGGGACAGACGCGATTGTTTTTTTGAAAAAACAATTTACTTTTTAAAGATGACAAAATGCGAGTGATGTTATTTGGTATGGTCTGGTTCTAAAGACATGTTAATAACCAACCAGAGGTAACTTTTTTTTAATTTGTATTGATATGTCTTATTGAAATCGAAACGTAGAGCAGATTTTGCTGGGTAATTATAAGATTCTCATCAAGATAATTGGTGTTTTGCTTTTCGTAATCAATATTAATAATAAGATTAATATTAAATATATAATTACAAGAAAATACCAAGGCAGCATTGACTGTTGAAAAAGAAACAATTCGATATGTGTGATGGATGTCAAGGCAGCACGTTACCTTGAACACTTTACAGTTATTCCTCACGTGCACAAGACTAATCTGACTTGCGCCCCAGATGATACAATAATGCAACAGAATTACATGGGGTCGCATGGCCCTGAAGTTGGAACACCTTGTATATGGCACCTGAACCCACCAAAGTGATAAAAAAAATCAAATATTGGGATTGGTCGTATTCATAAAATTCTGCATCATGACCATCTCTAAGCCTCAATCGTTCGGGATATTGAATTACTATATATTCTTTTAAAACAATAAATATTCTTGGGGTTTTAATGCTAATGATCGTGTTGAGTTTTATGGCAAAATAGTGAAGGTACCATAGATTTTGGTATGTTTAAGGCGATCAAAGAATATGTTAAGTCGTTGTGTCAAGACGTTTGATAGAAGAAAAAATTATTTAACAAAGTTTACAAATTTGTTATTAATTAAGCCGACTATATTTGTAGTTATGGTTGATTATTTTCCATTTCTATTATATTTCTTATAATAGTAAACAATTATTTTTAATAATAAAGTTGCAGCAAGCATAGCCTTTGCATACAGAATCTATATAATCTCATTGAATGTCACATCGATTAATGAAAATCAGTTTAAGTCATCCATGTATGTTTTGATTGCAAGACAATTGCTCTCAAGTAAATTTTAACATAAAAGGTAACTTTTGATTAAATAATCACTCAACCCAATTCATGTATGACATTATCCAAGCGAAGATAAAGAAAGGCTTTTAAGACAAATCCGGCCATTTTTGGTCGTTCTGAATGTCAAAAGTGATAAAATTCTTGGTATCAGTTTTAATTTGATCACAATTTGTTTTGTGAATTTGAATATTCGAAGCATATTGAATGTTTGCTCGAATAAAACGAATAATGTGTGATAGTAATAGGATGTTGATGAGGAAGGTGTTGTTGCTTGTGCATTTTTGATTAGAAACTTTAGATGGATGTGGGCAAATTATTTCTCTTGATGCTATTTATTATTTATTCCAAAAAGCTGCTTGATTTCATCTACTTTCATTCCTGCAATAGGTTCCTTGTAATGACTTAACATCAACCGTTCGTTATCTCATTGGATCTGGATTTTTTATCTTTTTGGTAGAAAATTTACTAATTCCAAAAATATATAAAATTCCAAAGTTGCACAACATATAATAGTTTTCGATTTAGATATTCAATGGGACCAATTTTCAAATGTTTTATATATTAAATGATGAGAGCCTTCTTATTAAAGAAATCGTAAATGGCGAATGAAGGAGTATTATGAAATTTATATTCTCTTTTAATAGAATGGGAAATAATTATGTATATATGATGGTCAAATCAAATTTCCATTTAAAGAATGGTGTGATAGTGCACTTTACATTTAAAATAAAAAATTTATATATAAAAAAATAGAAAAGCTTATATAAAACAAAGTAAGAAAAAAAACATATATATATATATAATGACAATTTACAAGAGTATATAATAAAAAATAAAATAAAACACTCGCGCGCACACATATAGAAACTACGCAAAAAAAAATAATTTTTAAATAGAGAAAACAAGTAAAAAAAAAAGAAAATTGATATTCTAAAACGGTTAGTTACATTGATTTTTATAAAAAAAGTCCCTTCCTTTTTTATAATTTTTTACGACCTAATGATAATAATTGCAGTGGTGGTGAAATTCTACTTATTTTTGAAATCTAATAAACGTTTATGAAAAAAAAGAGAAGATAAAAAAAGAAAAACTAAAAATGATTCTAATAGTAAAGTAAATTACTAAAAAGCAAATTGATTATTTCAAATTGAAGGATTTGCTATGAGTTTCGATTGAATAGCAATCACGTTTGGAACTCCAATTTCAGGCTAAAACAAAATAAGATTTAATTTAATTAATGGAAAGAATGATTTAAATAATATGTAAACGAATTAATTAAAAAAACTGCTTTACTCTATCATCCAAATTTTTAGCTATGATCATAGAATCATCAAAGTCATTTTCATCTTCATCCAAGTAATTCTCTTCGTCCTCATATTCAATATCATCATCGTTTAATTCTTGCAATTCCATTCCTGATTCAATTTGTTCTGACACTAGCATATTATTATTGTTATTATTATTGGTATTGGAGTTGATATTAATATTATTGATGTTAACATTAATATTAATAATATTAATTATATTGGCATTAGCATTATTGACATTATTGATAATGTTATTAAGCTCGATTATTTGATTACTATTATCATTGTTATTATTGTGATGATGTGCTAGCAGTGGTGGTGAAAGAGGTATTGCTGGGAGCACTTGTGCTGGTGGTGGTGGTGCTGATTGTTGCATATGATGATGGTGGTGATGATGATGATGCTGATGATGATTATTATGAGCTCTTTGATTTATCGATAATTGTTGTCTTGGTTTAATGATACGAGTTTTTTTCTGTTTAATTAACCTACACTGATAAAAACCACATTTTTCCGACCATCCATCTCTACAAACCCAACAAAATCTATATCCACAATGTAAACAATCAACTTTATTGCAGCCATCATCACGATTAATTAATATTGAACAGTTTGGACAAGATTTAGAATTTTCAAGTTTCCATTTAATAATTTCCAAAGCATCTACAGTGTTGTTGTTTATATTATTATGATACGTAGCTTGAGTTTTTGAATTATTCATAATAAATAGATGAGGGTTCGCTACTTTGTAACGCATAAATTGAATACATGTCATTCCTGGATGATGAGTAGATTCACCACATTGAAGACAAATATCATTGTAACACTTGGTGCTATAAATAAATAGTATTTTATAAAAAGAGATAAATATTGAAATAAAATACATAATTTTTTTTTAAAAAAATATAGATTATTAAATAGATTATTATACTTACCAACGCGACTGAGGAAAATTGGCAACATGCATAAATTGTAATTCTTTCCAAGATTCAGGTCTAATTTCCAAAGCTACGATTTTTGAAGAGATTTCAGCCGCTGATTTTACCATATCAGAATGGATCTTTAATTTACTACGGGTAAATTTTGTTGTTGATCTTCGATTATTCATTCCGAAACTTTTTTGGGTGAAAAAGAAAATTAATTATTAAACTTTTTTCTTTTTTAAACAATATACAAGAAAATATATATATGTGGTTAATAATTACCTTAAACCAAGACAATCGCCAATTTTTTTTGCAACATATTGATATATTTCAAAAACTCCCACACCAGGATTATCATTTGAAATAAAAGTCAAGTAATCTTTCTCAAATCTTGCGATAAACATGTCAACATCACTGATATTATTTATTGTTGCAAATTGAGAATTAGCAATGCTTTTCCCTTTAAGAGGTTTATTATTATTTACACCATAAGTCTCCAAAAATTTACGAAGTAGAACAGAAATTTCTTTAAAGTATCTAATATAGTTCGTATTAATAATTAATAAGTAAATAAGTAATAAATAAATCAATTGATCAATCAATCAATCAATCAATCAATTAATAACTAATTCTTGACTAATTATTATCATTGAATCCTTACTTTTCTTTTTCTTCAGCACAAACTTGGAAAACTTTTGCAGCAAAAATTTCTTCACCACATTCATTACAACAACGTGAATACGATCTGTATGGTCTATTGTATGTATTATACAAATCAATTGTGTTTTGATCAACATACTAATAAATTATTGGTAAAAATAAAGAAAAGCTTTAGAATGCATTCTTTATTAGTTTAATAATAAAATAAAATTGATGTACTGTACCTTGCTCCACTCTGATTGAGATATTACATCTTGGCAAACAGGACATTTAATTTTAGTGATATTAAGTCCCCAAGAATTTTGAACTACCTCCTTAACATATCTTTAAAAAAAAAACCAAATAATAATTTAAATAAATAATAGAACTTTAAATATTTATGAATATCCACATAATAAATTATCATAATTACCTTTGGAAACAATCTTTACAAAACTGATCTCTACAAAGATCCAAACAGAAATCAAGTTGAGCATCAAAACATATTGAACATCTTTGCAACCAATACTCAATGTCTTGTACCGAAGTTAAATTATCACTGCCACCCTCTCCTCCGTCACTTCTTTGTGAAGAAGAAGAGGATGAGCCTGAACTAGTTGAGGAAGACAGATTGAATAAAGAAGAAGTAGTGCTAGTAGTAGAAGTGCGATATTTGCTGGAAGTTAAGCTGCTACCAATTGCTATTGTCTTTGAAGCAAAAAACTGCAATGACCTGACGAATATTGCTGGCACGATCTATAACAATTTCAATGAAATGAAAAAGAGAGAAAAATTTTTTTTAATGATAATGATATATACTTGAACTATTATTACAAACTATTGTTATTGCTATTATGTACAATGATTAGTATGGATATTATGAATTATGAACTGTTATTGTTATTATTAATATAATGTCAATAGTAAAATTACAATCTCTGAAGGAAATAAATATTAGCGATCTAATGTAAAATTCGTTTATTAACATATAGCAAGTTTTCATCTCATTCAAATTAAAAAAGTATTAAGAAGTAAATAATTGATAGCAATAGCAATAATAGTTATAAAAATAGTAGTACTTACCAAAGTTGGAGAAAAGATGTAAAGAAAAGGTAAAGTATAAGCGAGCAACAAATTAGTTATAGAGTATTGTTTAAGATTTGTGTAAATGGGAGAAAAATAATAAACGTAATAATTGGTAGACAAATTTTGATTGCCTAACACCAAAAGTCGAAAAGGAAGTGAGTTGTATAGAGTATGATAGAAAGATGATGCCAAAAGATCCCAATGGTGGTTATTGTTGACCGATTCAAAAGAAGGGAAAGAATTAGAATTAAATAAATTCAGTGGTTTCATTTGATTATCAATTAATATATATATATATATATATATATATTTAATATTTATATATTATATATTATATAATACTATATTTATCTCTTATCTAACTAATATACAACAAAAAAAATTTTTCTAGCCTTACAGTGGAGTGTGGAGTGTGTATATGGACTTTGAAATCAAAAAGTTTTTGAATATTAAATAAATAAATAAATAAAATAATAAATGGTGAGTAAATAATAAATATAATAATTACAATTATATTTTAATTATTTTCTCACTTTTACTTTTTTTTTAAAAAAATAAAGCTTCTAATGAAAAATATGAATTTGGAGCTAAGTGACATTAAGTTTCATCATGAGAGGGACCACATCACAAGATAAAAAAAGAAAAAATTTATATAAAATAAATTTGTTTATGTGTAACGTACGTAGGTTATAAATAAACACTTTTCTCCCTTTTTTCACAACCAGATAATTTCATCATCTGTAAAAAAATCTGTAAACTATTTTTTTCGATCATGTGACAAGATAATTTTTTTTTATTATTCTTTCCTCCCTATATATACAATACATCATTAAAAACTTATTCCTTCGCTACATGCCAACTCAACTCTCTGATTTTCAACTTTAATATACATATGTATGTGTGTTTTTAAATTATATAAAGATGATAAACAAGACATAACAAAAGAACTAAAGTTCTATTAAAATCAGCTGAGAAAGTAAAGGCAGGCATTACTGCATCATAAATGTCGCATGAGGTAGTATCCTCGATAATATTGCTTATTGCTGCCAGTGTTGTACAAACACTAATTGTTATTTATTTAAAAAATTATTTCAATCACTTTTTTTCTTGTAATTGAAAAATAAAAACAAATAAAGTTTTAATTTAATTTATAAATATTAATTACTTTACTCAAAATAACATATTTAATCAATCTTACTTCCTATCTCTTTATAATATATTAAATACACGTTGTAGCTTTTTGAATTGAGATAAGAACGGCTTCTTTATTGAGAAACTAATGATGCTGTCTTAGTTTGGCTAGATTGCATTTTTTAGTCTGCAGTTGTCTGTAGTGTATTGCAAATTTGCGAATCTGATTTAAAATTAGCCGAATATAAAATCCGTTGCTCATCATTAATCTTCAAAATTCATAAGTCAATTCTTCGTGATCATAACGGTCTTATCATTTAAGCATCTCACTCGATTCCCAAAATTGAATCCATATATATATATATCCAATTTAAAATTTGCATATTATTTCCATTCATTTACTAAATGAGAAAAATTTCCTACGTGACACGATATTATTTTTTGGCTACTATTACTACTACCGTATTTTTGCCGGGAATAAGCAACAAAATTAATATTAACGCGTTTTTGGTTTCTTTGAATTCACAGATTACACGTTTCTGATCTTTTCTTATTATTATTATCATGTTAGAGATTCCTTTGATTCTTTGAATCATCACCGTTATTATATTATTTTTTTTAATTTGTTTCTGGAACCTTCTTAACATATCCTTTTAAATTCACATGATAATCACGTGAACATGACCTTCAAATTACTATTTGTGGTGTCTAGCAAATTTAACCCCGAAATCTTTTATTGTAAATTCTTTAGTTTCATTTATATTATCATGGCCAAAGCAAATAAAAATCGCGAAGCAAAACTTCTTTTCGAAGAAAAAGAAGTAATACTGTGTTTTCACGGGCCTCTGCTTTATGAGGCAAAAGTAAGATTTTATTCTTTCTTGTTGTATTCGATTTCAACAACTATATGAAAAAACTCAAGGAAATAAATTAGAATTAAATAAAATCATTTAACGATCCAATTATGTTGTTTTGTTCATTCTATAAATCTATTGTTTGTACGCGTTTTTTTTTTTTTGGTATTAGATTATAAAAGCAGAGAATTGGGCGCCAGGTGATTCTAAATCGGGAGAACTTGGTCCTCATTATTTTGTACATTACAAAGGCTGGAAAAATACGTAATCATCTTTATGATATATATATATATATATATATAATATAATATTATCATAATAAATTAATGATGATAATAAATATAGGTGGGACGAATGGGTATCAGAAGATAGGGTTGTAAAAATGAATCAGTCAAATCTAGCCAAACAAAAACAACTCAAGGAGTCACATGCAATCATGAAAAAAAGAAAAATTGGCAAAAAAGCAATCCAACAACAAAATCAACAACCTGTTGTTGAGAAACCCACACCACGTACAAAAAAACGTCAAAGAGCAGACTCTGTTAATGGTAAGTAATAAAATAAGAATTTTATTTTTTTAAGATTGAGATTAAAAACATTTTATTAATGTATTATGATGTTATTTAATAGATGATGGTAATGATGATGGTAATATTAATAATAACAATACGTCATCAGGAATACAAGATGTTGGACAAGCTCATGATAATAAACAAGATAGAAAAAGAAAGAAAGTTGTAAAGGATAATGAAGAAGTATTTTATGCACATTCTATTCAAAATTATTGATTTGATTTTAGACATAATTTGAATATTTTTTAAATGGATAATAATAGTCAACCTTCTTTTATTAAGCGGGAAAAGGAATTTATGAAACTTCCAGAAATCCAAATAGTACTTCCTCAACGTTTAAAAGAAAAATTAATAGATGATTGGGCAACTATTATGAGAGACAAAATTGTAAATTGTTAACAATAATTTTCTTTAATTGTATATAACAAAATGGTCTAATGAAGAGCAATTAATTAATTAATGTTTATTGTATTTAAAAAGTTATACCATCTTCCTTGTTCGATTACTGTGGACGAGATATTAGTAGATTATTTGAATTATAAACGTGGTATTACTTCTTCCACTTCTGGTGATAACTCATTGTCTTCTTCTGCATCCTCATATTCTTTATCTTCCAAAAATGCTTCAAAATCGAACGATTATACATCTTCAAGGTATGAAGTAATTTGTTTTTTTGTTGACTTTCCTAGAATAAATCTGCATTATTAAGCCATTAAACCATTAATAGATTATTCAAGGATGTTCACGAGGAAATTACGAATGGAATTCAGGCTTATTTTAACACTTGTTTGGATACTATGCTCTTGTATGATGAAGAAAGAGTTCAAAATGAAGATGTTCATAAAACTTATCCGGACAAAGAATGGTCAGAAATCTATGGAGCAGAACATTTGTTAAGATTATTTGGTAAATTATCAATTAACATATAAATAAATACCTTGAAGATTAAAAAGTAAAAGAACGAGCGCTAATAGATTTATTTGTTTGATTTATTATTTAGTTGAACTTCCAAAATTACTTGTTCACACTGATTTAGATGAAAAGGCTATGGATATTCTTAAAGGACACTTGGCAGACTTCTTAAAGTATGTCCATTTCAATCAGATATATTACCTTACTCTCGAGTTATTAACTGTATTATTATTATTATTATTATTTATAGATTTTTTGAAAAAAATAGATCACATTATTTTGTGGGAATGTATGAACATGATTTGAGTATTCCCCCTAACAAGAAATTAAAATCTAGTGGCAAGAGAGCAGGTAAAGTAAAGTAGATAAATACGTTTATGAAAAATATCAAAACATTTAAAAATTAATATATCAAGATTTTTTTTCCTTCCAAATCTCAAAATATGTAGCAAAATCTTACTGTACAAATTGTAGAACATTCAATTCGCCTGATTGGCATGCTGGAGAAACTCCTGATCAAATACTTTGTAGCAGTAACTTATCAATCTACTTATATATATATATATATATGCTACTAGCTATTAATTATTGATTATAATGGCCATCAATTACTCAATTACTGATTGTTGATTGATTACATTAAATTTTTAGTTTGTGCGCTTTATTATCTAAAACATAAAATTCATAGACCCGAAAGTCTTTGGAATAGACATTACGAATCTTCGTCTTCCTCATCATCTGCATCAATATCTGCTACATCGCCTGTATCTGCATCTACCTCTCCTGTAGCATCTCCATCTGCACCAGCATCCTTAACAACTTCTTCTCCACCAACCCCAGTCCCATCACCTTCAACTCCATCTCCATCTACTTCGGATGATGGCATCCTTAGTTAGTAAATTACGGCAGTAATAATAATATTTAAAAAACTTTGCTATATGAGTTGATTGATTTCTAATTAAAAAAAGTATTAATATATAAAAAAAAATAAATAAGCTTATATGATTTTCTTTTTTCTTTGACAAAATTATATATATATATTATGTATATAGTTAATTAATCAATAATTTGTATATATGATATGATGATAATATTAATTATTTTTTCTTGCAAATAAAAATTTGCGATTTGGCTATAAAAATGTTAACGTATATAACTAATGACTTCAATCATGTTAACTGAAACAGACAATCACGATCGCTAGTAAATACTTTCACTCTTTAACAAGAAAGTCACGCGCTTGAAGTGGAATATCAAATCATTGGCATTACTTAATCAATACTTGTGACTAATTATTCTTACATTAATATTACAATATTATATATACACTTATTAAGTCCATTTGATGATACAGTTTCTAATATGAATTAATCAATAAGATTATCATCACCATTTTAACATTAAACAACAAATGTTATATTATAATTCTTATTATTACTTTGCTAAATCTAAATCATAAATTTCCGTTGCTTTCTTTTTTTCTTCTTATAAAGTGATAATAGATATATTAATGAGATAGTTAGATATGAATAATCATTATAATATTAAATATCATTAATGTTAAAATGCTGCGTACGAATATATGTTATATGTTATATTATATATCACCCTACATAACATAATAGATACAATTGACGTAGTATTATTGCCATTAATAACTTTAAATAGATTTGAATCTATAATAAATGATGCTGGTCAAATAAAAAGAAGATATAAAAACCATTATTAATTATTATTATGATGATGGTTATGACTATGATTATGATGGATGGTAATTAAAATTATAATAAATTATTATATTTTCAAAGTTGAAATTCAATAGAATAAAAAATAGAACTTGTATCTATATATTTTTCAATTATTGAAAAGAAGATTCTGGAGGTATTGGTTCTTTTGGATGTTTAGCCTAATAAAATCAAAATCAAATTACTAAAATATCTTTAAAATATTTTTATAAAAAAATATATATTTCTTATTTACCTCCATATGTTGAACAACGATTTTATAATTAGCGGCTGGACTCTTTATTAATTGATTGATTGATTGATTGATTGTTAATAATTAGAATTATAGCTAATATAGTTAATATAATCAATTAATCTGCTATTAATTTGTTACCTTACAAACAGGACATTTCAATTGTAAACCTGCTGCACGAGCACCCAATTGAGACTTACCGCCTTGTTTAGCCTCAGCTATTTTTTGATTTTTTTCTCTAAATTTTTTTTTAGGTATTTAATTTTTTATATAAATACTTAATTTAAATTTAAAACAACTCATCTCAACACAAACCTAGCTTGTTCCTATATTAATTATTTAATTGATTAAATTTTTTAATCGGAAAAATTTTGATTATTTATATCCACATGTGTATATGTATGTAAAAACCAACCTTTTGTTTTCCCCTGGCCATTTGCCTAACAAATGGATCTATGACTTATATAATTTGTGTAAGATATAATAATAATTTTATTTTTTAAAAAAAAATTATTTTTATTTTTTATGATGACATAAAACGCCAAATATGGAAGTAATCTTCAGGGGGCAAATGTAAATAACACTAATCGACACAGCTGTTGTTTTATGAAAATTTAGATTGTGATAAAAAAAACTTATAAATAAACAATGTATGTGGGCTGTTTTAAGAGTTTTTTTGAAATTTTAGGGAAATAAAAAATCACGATTTATAATGGGGGATTTTCATGTTAATACTGGATATGAAATAGATTAATGGATCAACTAATGGCCTGTGTTCATGTACATTCTATGTACGTGCATGTATATGTATGTATATTGTCGATAAGATTTTTAAATCTCGTTCATTCATATTTTATTCAGCAAATTAAAGAAAAGAAAAAATATGACTTTTAAATAATATGATTAGTTAATGCCTGCCCATTTTAATCCATTCATTATAATCCATTTATTTCTTATAAATAATTCATCATCATCATCACTTTCTAATCTTAATTTTTAAACCAAGTATCTAACCAATGTTTTGTTTGTTTATTTTATTAAACCAACAATATAACCATATATATATATATATGGCTATTATGTAATTCATAGTATGTAATTATATATTATTATATAATAATTTTTCTTCTTTTTACAATCATCCCATCGTCACATTCGTTATTGTTATTATTTATTATTTATTATAAAAAATTTAAAAAAAGCAAAAAATTGATTAATTATGAATCGACAACAGCAGGATTTGAACCTGCGCGGGCAGAACCCATCAGATTTCGAGTCTGACGCCTTAACCACTCGGCCATGTTGTCCAAGATACTATGTACAACCTTTAGTTATTTTATTCGTTTAAAATATATACCAAATAATTTTTGAAAGATCTTCCTGTGAATAAATATTTTTTTTTGATAGTTACGTGTTTATTATTATCTATAAAACCATGAAATGAGTCGTGAATGCATGAAATATTTTTTTTGGAGAATTGTCATAGTAATATATTTTTTATGGATTTTGAGTTCAACCAATTGTTTTTTAATTTACAAAATCAAAGAACATATTAATTTGCATTATTTTCAAATTAAACGAAAAAAATAAATTGAATCATCCGCCTACTTATCTACACAGATTTTTGAGGAAAAGGCATTTAGACAATTAGTTTGAATAATAATTACAGCAATGGTAGTGCAGTACTTTTCTAAACAACTGCACGTTTAAAGAACAGGAAGTCTCGAGTTGCCATGGAGTGCCCAGAAACAACCTGTGCATATATGTTGTTATGTTGTTAGTGATTGTGTCATAATTATTGAAGAAGAGAAGACAACACAACAGTTGGATTATTATCGAGTAAAAAAATTTTGTAATTCTGTCTACACTTTTTAGAAATTTTGGATTAATCACGCACCACGAAACTTAATAGGAAAAGATCATTGTCAAAAATAATAATAATAATAATAATAAGGTTTTTAGGATTTCCGATCCGAATAAACAGAACCGGAAATAGAAATAAAACGATTAGAAAAATCTCTAGACAACTACTTTCTTGCTTTATCCACCACATATTAACCTAATGATTTTAACATTAAAAATAGTTTAATCTTAAAAAAGGACATATGAAGCTTAAGAGTGGTTTTTTTGATAGTACTGATTTGCAAAGACATACACAGTCACCCTACTTTGGAGGGATTCGTGAAAATAAGAAGACGGCATCAAAGGATTTTGGGGTTACTAGAATAGTCTAATAAGAGTTCAATGCCCATTCTTGATACATGTCACCCTTTCCACTTAACATTGTGTTGATCGGCTAGATTCGTTTTTCAACGTTTCGAAATCCAAAAAAAAACTTAAAATTAATTAATCAACTAACAAAAGTATCATTATATTGATGCCGACATTAATGTTGCTGGTGGTATAATGCAAGGTTATTTTGAATTCATGAAAAAACCATTAGTAATGACCAAGAAATATTGAAATTACTAATAAATCGGAAAGGGTCCATCACAATTTCAACGTTAAATCTTATTTGTTCACACGATTAGGAAGTTTTTTTTAAATAGTCTATTAAATTAATATGATTGAAATTTATCATGATGAATGCTCATAACAACGTTTTAAACCCTCGCTACAACAATGCTGAAGGAATTTAGGATAAAATTTATAAAAACAACCATTAATCTATATTAATACAGTCAGGGATCTTTCCAAATTTGGAAATAGAAATTTACGCCTCTTTGTCGATCAATTCATATATTTTTCATATGATACAAACGAGTTGACGTGATACTTTGTGCTTTTTGAAAAAAAAAGTTTTTTTAAAAAAATTACTATTATAATTATTTAAATAAATACTACAATATTTTCTCTTCCATAATCTGTTAAAAATCTATAAAAATCTATTGTTTTCCTCAAAGTATACTTTTGTTTAAATTCAAGAAATTCTGTAACAGAAGTTCAAATGATTTGGTTTTTTACTCAATTTACTAACTTATTTATTTTATTTTTTAATTTTAGTGAATAAAATGCTTGCTAGTTATCAAACTGTTACTTCTAATTTTCTTGAAAAATTAAAAGCAGAGGACAATCCTTCAAGAGAAAGCCAACGGAAATGACTTAAATGAAAGCAATAACTATTGATGAAGATGCAGAAGAACACTGTAAACGTAATTCTTGATTTATTTCAATATGGAACCCAAATATAATTTTTATAATAAATGCAATAGTTAAGTTCTAATTTCCAACCTTTAAATGTTTATTTTTTTAAATTACATAATTTGTTTATAAAGACTATTTTCATAATAATAATAACCATTTTACCTAATAATATTAATATACATTGCTGGATGAAATAGAAGATTGCATTTATTTAATATTTTCAAACAAAAACAAATTCGCATAACGGACTCTTTTCAAGAATGGCTATTAATAAAATGGAAATAATGTCAGTTAATTTGATTTTTTTAATATTTTAAAGATTAGTTTCATACTATTACTAATTTTTATTTCATCTATTTTCTATTATTTTTTATATATATTTAGAAGTGTAATGATTAAATTAAAAGGTATTTATTTATTAATGCATTAGCAGGATCTGATGGAGATGTTATT